AAAGGCGTGATCAAGGTTTTCAAGTTTTCTACACACAATGCAGCATCATCCATACGCTGAAATTTTTGTACTTCTATCAGCTGTGGTTTATGAGTAATGAGTAAAAACCAATTTTTAATTTTTTTCGAAACACAGAGGTGTTCTTAGTTTTCCGAGGTATTGTGGACGTGTGCTTCGACCGATTTTGCCCATTTTCAATACTAACCCACGTGCAAGAACTTTCAATTTTTCCTGCCAAAACTTGAAGTCGACAGCTTAACTTTCGCGGAGAATGTTCAGAACAGATATTATACGGACGAAAAGATATACAGACAGATATGCTTCAATCAATTTAGAATTTAATGCTGATCAAGAATATTTATACTTTCTGGGGTCTCTGATGCTTGCGGCAAATTAATTTGAATTTGTCCACTTTAGGCAAACTTTTAACAGACTATAGTTGAAGACATAATTAATACACGATAATCCATATGTTTAACGAATACCGGAAGAAAAAAGTTATTTTCATTTACGTTAGGAAAGATTAAATGTTGGCAAACCAGGTTGCATTTAAAATCAGCGGTAACGCCCTCATTTGTAAAATCCGAAGGAATTGCTTTTCTACTGCTAACTGCCGTATAAAACTGAAGAATTCATGTCATCTACAAAATTACGTTAAATCCATACTTTGTAATAGATTAGTGTCCGCTGCCAACAATGGACGAGTTGCTTTCTTCAAAATTACTATCAATGGAATGCATGATTCACAGCATCGGTAATATATTGAACACAGCATATTCCGAGGCCATATTAAAAGTAGTGTGGGTATAAAATGCAAAAAGATGGTATCCACAATTTACAAAGTGGGAGGTGTACAGATAAATACTGTAACTTGAGATTACTTGCTTCATAAAACGTACAAGATATACATAAATACATGGTTTAGATATTGCTGGATACCATTTACAGCAATACCGATAATTGAGATAAACTGCAAGAAACTGCAAAAATCCGTAACTTGGTCTGGAATAAAAATGTGGTAAGCGATTAGATAGTTAGAAAATGGTTCGCGTGATTTCATGCAAAAATCTTCGTCTTGAAAACGATGAAATTTGCATACGTCCGTTCGCCTCTACTAAAAGCAACCCAGAAAATGATCTCTATATTACATTAGAAGCTTCTCTTCCGATTGTTCCCAAGACCTTTACCCTGTTAATTGTCACTGATTTAGATCGACGCAGTCATATTGAACCGATTAGCGATTTTGCAAAGTTGAAGATGTGCGAATAGGGGTCGACGAATATTTCGCCACAAAATCACGAAGTTTCTACCGCGAGGCTATTCGCAAGCCACAATACAAAAGACAAAAGACCATAGACAGCTATGTTGCATATTTCGTTTATTAAGCTTTGTAAAAATTATTTTTCAATTAAATTTCAATTTTATCAAAAAAGTCAAAGAATTTGTTTGCACAGCCATTAACGCTAGAACGACTGAAACTTAGTATATATCTATATTGGCCAGAGGCAGTCAAAGTGACTGCTTTGTGAAAGAATAACTAATGCGTCAAATAATTTATTTGAAATTCATTTTTAATATTTGTTTATTTTATAGAAAGTTATCTAATACGTTATTAGTAAATATTAAATAATAAAGAAAACATAGGAAAAAGTACTTTATGCATTATTACATACATTATGTACATTTTTTGCAAATTAAAATGGAAATTTTTTCATATGTACATTTTCCACAAACATATTTTTTGCATTTTTTACAAATATTACTCGTTTTGTTATTGTGGCAAGATCGTACGTAATAAATTCTACGTTTGTTAGGATGATTTGCATTTTATGATGTTGCAGCTGACCTTTGTGAGTATTCAGGGTGTTGCAAAATTTTCTATTCAATAGGAACCTGTTCTGCTAATTGAAACCCGAATTTTTTTCATTTTATTTTTATTCCCGTCGTTTCTGTGTAAAGGATCCAATCATTTATAGCAGCCAAATTTAAAACATTGAAAAATATTTGTAGGGATCAGCTGCATGAAGTAACTTTTACTGCATAATTTCCTGATATCAACTCCAAATTTAGTATTACTTTTTCTGGTCATTTGATCGGCCATATCAACTCCAGATTTTGTGCCAATATAAAATTTAATAGTTTCTAGTAAAATTTTCTTATGACTTCTATCAATTTTCACAAATTTATGCTTTGCGTTTAAAACAGTCGCTCTTTTGCTTAGTTTCCTTTTCTATATTGTAAGAACACAATTCATTGATTTGTGTAGCAGAGGGGAAAAACGAGGCATGTTATCCTTTTTTTGTTTGCCTAAGTGGAGTTTTCTCTTCCGCCTGGGTGGCCGAATAGGCAAGAGTCTCGACTACCAACTCAGAGGTCGTGGGTTCGAATCTCAAGTGCGGTAGAGTTTTTAATAAAGGCCGATAGCCTTAGATGCTAGTGCTTTTAAGAGTTTAGTCTTAGAATTTATTTCTCTGGCGAAATTAATAATAATAATAATAATAATCTCTTTAGCCAATAATTGTGTCGCCAGTGACAATCCAGTGACACGTTGGACAAGTTTCATAATGATCATTGAACATTATATGCCATAATATTGCTTGTTAGCCCTTCCATCTCCTTGAAAATACACGTAAATGCTAATCTACCACTTTCATCAAATTTTGACCACCGAGTGCCATCAGCAGCTGCTTTCAATTCCTGATGAGCGTTCTCAGTTTCTTCATCAGAGTCTGGAATAATTTGTATCATACACCTTTTTCTGGGCAAATTTGACGACATTTTCGTTTTCATTATTAGTGGGCGATTCTTTATCGATATCTTCAGTTTTGGATGCTTCGCTTTGAATGTGAACAGTGCCATACTCAGATGATGGTTCAGGATTTATTGCATTTAATTCTACAGTAGAGCACTTTTTACTTGTGTTCGTTGCCTTTTTCAATAAACCACTTCTATTCGACATTTTGGGCGCAAATGACGTAAGACATATAATTGTATAACAAGTATCACTGTATAGAATAACATGTGCTACTTTTAGCTTATTAAGCAGCTGCAACTTATATAGTGCCCGTTCAAATCAAAAATTTGTCATGCACCGAAATGTGATCAGGTAACGAATCGAATCGAAAGCAGATTATTTCAAAACAGGGCCGGACATGTCGTTTATTAGATTCACTCAATTCAATAATAAAAATTATTTATTTATTCTAAATTTCTCAAGCAGTCAAAATGACTGCTTTGGGCAATACAGGTATAACACTGGTATAACACACACATTTATAAGGAAAAAAGGAGGGAGCGGATATAGATAGAACCATTAATACACGCGTTTATATCAGGTATAAAAAGTCACAAAATCCTAAGACATTGTATCATTATAAAAGTAGTAATCAAAATGGCTTCTTTGGGCAATCTAGTATTAGAGCTGGTGCTATGCAATCTATGAAACAGCCAAATACTGAGGATGGCATATATGTCTTCTTAGGCCTAACAAACTTTTATGGTCGGTTCATCCGAAGCATTAGCGAGATTCACTAAGTCATTTATTGCACAACACTGGCGAATTTCGTTTCGATAAGGAGCTTGTTAAATTCCTCGCTGAGATTAAAAAGTTGATGCGGTAAGACGTTGTGCTAACTCACTACGTTCTTCAGTCTGATTCCTGAGATTAGCGCCGGTGACCAAGGGTGAACAGTAATTTAGCCATGGTTTTAAGGACGATCCAGATAAACAAATTCAAATTGTCTCCCAAACGCGGTGTATCTAGAATCATTAATTACGGACGGCATGTCAACATCACCACAGTAGAATGCAAGATATATTCGCGATAACGGATGTCTTATCAATTTATCGTATCGAGCATATAAAGTAAAAACTCAGTTCATTTGCCGCGAGATCTGGAAGCTCATGTTGCCATGATGAACAAAATTTCAGTAACGTTTGCGTTCGCAAATAATGGGTTGTGGGTCAATCCGAAATAATCGTATTGTAATCTTCTTGAACAACTATTACGTTTTCCCTTGTTAATAATAAAAAAAGAGTTGGAACATTTTAACAGAATTTTCAAAATATCAGACCACTGTAGCTTCACATCGTAAGCAATTATCGTTAATTATTGAAACTACGGAGAATATTTGTTTATTCTTGATGATGGCTGAAAACATTTCATCCTCACGCCAATCGCTCCTTACTAGTTCACGGTGGTCCTTGCTGAGCAGCTTTACTGGATAAACGAATCGATTTTTAATCGTTCTATAATATTAAAATTCATCTCCCAATCAATTACGATATCTTCAAGTCAACCATATACAATTAGCTCTTAATATGGCTTCATCATTAAATATCGTAGTAGGTTAATAATGTAAAATCCCAAAGAAACCATCGAGAGAAACAGTAAATGGATTGTTTTAGCTTTCCAAGTAAGGCTCTGACTAATAATACCGAAGAAAATGTCAAATTTTAGTATAGCAGCTCAGGTCGTCCTACATTCGATGAATGAGAATAGTATTCGAATTTGAAGAAGGAGAACAAAACATGACATTAAAATTGTTACACCAATTTCCACGCATATAAAATGTAATTGTATAATAGATATTGAATATCTTGTTTTATTACTGCAAGTGATTGTTTAAGAAACATTTCCTTCCACAACTCTGTTATAATTAACTTAATGCCACACTAAAATGTTGGAATTGTTAAGCATCAAAATAATAATAATAATAATAATTATTGCAATATTGGAACTTTTCTGGAATAGTCTTCAAAATATAGAAATTTTCCGATTATAATTCATTTTGATTCGACTTTAAACTAGCTTGAAACTCAATATAATCTTGATTAAACGAATGTTTTGCTAATCAATATATTCATATATTTATTGGAAGTAAACAAGTCCCTTTTTCTAAGCGCTCTTACGGTACCGTGAACCTTACAGTAGGAAATAAATAATTGAATTGAACTTTTCCCTATTAGTGTATATTTGGTATTTGCTTTCATATGTTTATCTAAAGGTTTATTAACTTTATTTCATTATCATCATGATGCGAAGAGTTTGCTCGGTTTTCTTTAGTTACATTATCAGAGAATTTTTGTACGAGAAACTTTTCGGTAAGCATATTCCCCGAATTGCTTTCTCTATCTTCCTTTATTAGGGAATCAGTTGAGTTATATGCATCTCGAAAATAAGGAGAAGCTCTAAATTTGCTTTCGGCATATTTTACTCCCTCTGGATATAATTTTTTACACTCCTCGAAATTGAATGTCAGCCAATAGCCACGTGTTCGACATTTGGCTACATTTAGCTTACACTCATTATAAAATACCGCTACTTCATTCAAAGTCTTCCCACATACGGGATTATAAACACCATAGCAATCGTCGTCACATAGAAATCCTTCAGTAAGCGAATTTTTAACTGAATTAAGATGAAGTAAACAATCGCGATTTTCACAAGAAGTCCAAGCTACAGGTACCGCCAAAAAGGGAGGACTCTTCAGCGACGGTTTCTCAATTCCTCCTGCTGGGAAAAATGTACGCTTCACATAATAGCCATGTTCCTCGGTGGCAACTTTTGAACTTAAGTCATCAACACCCGTATCGATAGTGGAGGACCATTTCGTTTTGGTCTTTGCTTTACTTCGCGTCATTTCGCCCGAACTCTTTTGCTTCTTCTTCTTGGCATCAGCAACAGCTGCAAATAGCAGAAGAGTTACTAAAAAGGGATTGTTTACACCCTTTAAAAATCAATGCAGTTTCACTTCATAAATGCATCCCATTTTTGCTTATCTGTACCTGCTATAATCAACACTATAAACAAAAAGTGATTGTGAACAAAACTCTTCATTTTATAATTTTATTATTGAAACTCTTTAAGAAAGTAATTTCTTTTTCTTTCACTCTATTACGCAAGTGTTGCTTCTACACGGAGAATTCTTTAACTACTGATCGCCACTGATATGCGTGTTGTCAGTTTTGTTATCTTAAGAAAGTTTATGAAGTTGCATTTTCTTTTATGAAACTATATATATATATATATATACAACCAAAACCAGTTATTTATTTTCATACAACAAGATATCTCTCGAGCACTTTACTACTTTGCCTTCGCAAGCATGTGTGAACTTTTAAAATAAAGAAACTTTGTACCAACCCAAAGAAAATCTCTCTAAACAGTTATTTTTTGTTAACAAAAAAACATATGCATTCCAGTTTTCCTTAATGAGAAACTAGTTTCTGGTTTTTTTTTTTTTGTTTGGGTCATCTATAGTTGCATTATAAGTAGGCTAGTTTTTGGGATTCTGTTCTTGTTCAGTAATGAATAGAAAGCAAGGAATACATTTTTTTTATTTTAATTGCCATTACTGTTACTATAACCAGAACAGTTTAATCTAACAGACTAAGATAAGTTGGCATCATTTATAATAAGTGACTTTTTCTTGTTGACAAATTTTGTTATCAAATTCTTTTCAGCTACTAATATTTATTTTTTACAAAACTGTTTTCAATATGCACCTTAGGCCTTAACATTGGTAGAGTTTTTATGATTATTTCATGGCTCAACGTTGGAAAATGGTGAGAGGCCGACCTTCCGAACAGCAATGTAATGTAAGCCTCAAATCCAACCATGCCACCATCCCGCCATGCATACCATAACAAGACACATAATCCCCTATTCTCAGCTCACTGATGTTACACAAAGTAGGTAAGTAGATTTTCTTACCTTTCATGTTGAATACACAGGCATTCAGGCAGTATTCAGGGCGAAACTATGACCTTAATAAAACGAATTAGTTATATTAATGTACCTTATACGGTAGGCAAGCGGGCGGGATAATTTTATTATGTTATTAGAATGGAAAATATTTCAATGGCAGACAATAAAACAAATATTTTTCCATTTTTACGGTTTCACCCTTCAGTTAATTTCCAAAGGAAGGAAGAATTTCGTAATGTTGCCATAGCATCGCCTACCAAAACTGATCACGAACGCAATAAATATTATCTAAACGCATAAAGCAAAAATGGCAAGAGATTATTTGTTAAGACAAACATTGCTTCATACCATTTTTTTTATCCACCCTCCCACAGTTCCCACAGTGTTCAAGCTGCTTCAATTTGAAAAAAATTGAGAATTCTAATAACTACCAAATAAACGAATAAAGCAATATATATATATATATATACATACATACATATATATATATATATATATATATTGCAAGTTTCCACATGAGATAGCCACACTGTGGAACCTACGCTTGACTGAAGAAATGAGAGCGGAATGGACTATTCCGAGCAGAGGAGGTTACCAAGAATTTAGGCTTACAACTTCCTAGATATGAACTTTTTTTAAAGAAGTTCATTCTTAAGATCGCCGTTAGCAAACGAGCTTAACAAACTACTTGCCCCACATAAAAAAGGATTAGTTTGTTAATGAAACAAATCTGTAGGCGATATTCTTATTTTCGCTAGTAGGAGAATCTTTACCACAAATACAACACTGTTATGCAAACAGGCAGACGGATAGAGGGACGGACATGCTTAAATCGATTTAAAATATGATGCTGGCCAAGCATTTACATACTTTATGAGGTTTTTGAAATTTGTTTCTACGCTTTATAAACGTATTAAAAAAAAATTACATTTTAATACATTATAATATTGGATAGGCGCGATCATTTTTTTTTTTTTCATTTTTGTGCAGGTACTGCAGCATCATCCATAGAATATACATTTGGCATATTTATCTGTTATAGTTTATGAGTAATGAGCAAAAAACCAATTTTTTATTTCTATCGAAAAACACAGGTGTGGGTTTCATTTACGTGGTGCTCTGGGCGTGTCGATCGATCGATTTGGCCTATTTTCAACATCAACCTGCGTGCAAGCACTTGCAATATTTCTGCCTTATTTGAAGTCGATATTTTCATTTTTGCGACCAGGAGAATGTTTAGAGCAGACTACACACAGACAGACGGATACACAAGGAGATATGTTTAACTCGATTTGAAACTTTATGCTTATCAAAAATATATATATATCTGGTGGGATCTCTGACGCTTCCTTCTGGACATTGAATGTACTTGTTATTCTTCGGTGATGAGTATGCACACATATATACATACGTAATTTAATTCAAATGAAGAGCTTTTCACATTTTGTACTTCCTTCTTCCTGGATTTCTCTTGTTGATGGCATTTTACTTTTTTCAATATATTGGATAATGTTTCACAACCTTGGTTCATTTAACTTTTTTTGATTTTTAGTGAACATTTTTTCTTATACTTAAATGGATTAATTTAGTTTGTAATTTGACATTTCTTTTTGATTAAGTTATCTAGTAATTAAATTTACAACATTCAAGCTTTATTCCCTTTATTCCAACCATAAGCTGTGTTAATTACATTCGTACGTTACTTTAGAGCTTTCGGTACAAAAACAAACCTAATATAAGATTAAAATATATTGACGACTTTGGGGAACGTATTTCAAATTATTTGTTTTGATGAGATGAATTTTAAGTCAAATTGTACACGATTTTGAAATAACACGATTGACCAACGAGAGAAAATGCACCTTTTTTACATAAACAATTTGCTTTAGCACGAATCCAAACAAAAAATTTCTTTTTTAATATCAATTTTGATAAAAAAAAAAACTCACAAAATTTTATTTATACAGCAACAAAAAATACAATTGAGCGAATTCTGCGCTCAGAAGTCAGTCTGTTTATACTCACACATGTGTTAGTGACTTGCTCGACTGGTACTTGGCGGTTAATAACGAACATTGTGCTAGCCATGACCGACATATCTACTGATGATAGCATTTTTGATCCAGTTCGTAATAAACGTGCACGCTAGTTGTCAAATAGCGATGAATACTTGAGAATACTTGATTTTTATTCCTAATTTCAATTTCAATTTCAATTTTCATATGTTGTATTCATATATGGACTGCATTTTCACTGTACTTTAATTCCCTTTTTGTCACAAAACTTAATGTAATATGTAATGTAAATTTCAATATTACTTTTCGCTTATGGTTTTTTGAAAATATATATATTGGGGTTTTGCATCTTACACGATTTTTTTAAGCAATTGAACATATCACCAAATTTACCACATGTGACACTTATATTTTTATGCGAGCTTTTTTTTGGTATTTTGGATTTCTACGGAATGCGTCGACCGTGTAAAAAAAAAAAATTATCGGTATATTGTATATATGTGTACAAGGTGAATTGAATTATATAATCGTTATATGTATGGGAATGTTATATTCCGAAAATTTTTGTGAGTTAAATTGATATATAATATTTTGATGAGGGATACGCATATGCTTGTGGATACGAAGATGTCTGTGGATACGATCTAGCATCGTTATCGAGCTTGCATAGCTTTTCACTTTGCACGCACGAAAGTTTTAATCGAGGCTGTCTAATAAACACAAAACATAATTATGACGGCATTTAATTGGGCCTGCAGAAATGCAATAATGGAATGGAGCATATTAAAAAAAAGAACAACCCGAAAATGGTTGTTGTATTTGCTGTACATGAGGATATTAATATTTATATATTAACTATTTCTAACTTGGCTTCACTTTCGCCGACTATCTGACTCACTTAATTTTTAAGTAAAAATATCTTAAAATGCTTTAATGACACCCTGCTCTCCTTATTTAAAAGGATGAAACGACTGTGGCAAGCGCCGAAAAACAATAATAGATGGCGATGGCATCTCGATGATTAAAATGCTCTACAGGCTCGTGAGTAGTCACTCTTGCGATAATATCTGCATGAAAATAATGGGATCCACATGCAAAATGTGCAATACATAAGACTTTCAGAACATTTAATTTTCAACAGTCGTAAATTTGAAAACATACCAGAAGTTCCTTTAACACCTTTAGTATACATAACCACCCAAGCAATCTTTTCGATAATTAAAATAATACTTAACTAGAGAAATTAACTTGTGACAGGTTGGCGTTTGTGTTTGAAATTATATTCAGAGGATTCTTTTAGAAAAGGACAAAGCAATATGCTAGTTAAGGCATTTCATAAGACAAAACCAAACGAGAACGATAACAAGCTATCTCCGTTCTAACTTCTTACTCATTCCTTAGGCATTCCCCTTGTCATATGATGTTTTGTATAAACCGTCCAGATTCCACAATAGGGATGCCAAAGCTTTTGCCAACACAACACATTATGTTTTAGGGTTTACTTGACACATCGCATTCATTGTAAATGCGAACATATCTCTCTAATTATATTAATTATAAAATTTACGTCTTTTTTCATTAATTTTGGTACTTTCAAATATAATCGATGAGATGCGTCTACAAAACAACGAGAAAAAACGATGGCTGTAAAATAAAAGGAGAAAAAACAAGAATAAAGCTCACATGCGGACAAGGAACCTGTTTTCTAATTGAGAAAAATTTGTCACTGAAAAATGCGTTTCTTGTGAATAAGCAAACACTTAACGTTCTGATCAACAAGATTTTATAATTTATATTTGCCGTATGTTTTTTTTATCTAAACATTCTTTCTAATAAAGTGAGTTCTCTTTATTCGTTCTTAATCTAATATTTTCCAATAAAATTCCTCTTTTTCTTATCCGCTCTTTTTTTTTTATAATAACATTTGCTGTTTGTTTTTACTTGTAAGTGACGAGTTTTTTTCAGAAAGTAACACTCGACTCTGACACTTGTTAAATCAAAATTCAGATAACTTCTTCCTCTGTTTTTCTTCTTTGTTCTAACGTGCTTGTTTTCCATGTTAATTAAGTAGTTAAAAAAAAATAATATTCTCTTGTATCAAATAAAAAGAAAAGAGAGTGGGCTTTAGTGGAAAATAACA